TGACCAACTTTTATTTTCTTTTGCATTTCAGTATCAAAGAAGATCAAGTTTGTTGTAAGGAATGCACATGAGGTACAAGCTGTAAGATGGATCTGTTGATAAATTCATACCTGTAGTCATGAGCTCTAAATCCAAATTCCCCTTACTGCTTTATGTCTTTTGTGGTACATGTAGATCTGAGAATTTGATAAATACATCAACACAGACTGAGCAAGTTGTCCTTCCTTCCCTATATTGCTGATTCCGTTTCTTTCTTCTATTACTTCTGATATCCCTCCTATCCCTAGCTTATTTTGTTCCCTGTCCACTGAACAATATGTTAAAGACACCAGGACAGTGTCAATTATATGTCTTGATTGTATTTATTAGAGGACATAACAGGTAATTATTCATTTGTTAAAACAGAATGTCAACATGCTGGTATTATTTCTCAACAGAAAAGCATTTTAAGCTTACGATTATTAGAGAATGGGTCTCTGTTAAGTGGTGGCTTGGATGGCAAATTAGCAGCATGGGATGCTAATAAATATTTCAATACGCCGTTACAAGAAACTCAGGTGAGTGGGAATTAATTATAATCAGCCATGTTTTTGCAAAGCATTTGCAGGGTACTCGAGCAGGTTTGAAGAAAAGTATCAGTTGATTTTTTTTTTCTCATTACTACTCTACTTACAGAGCATTACTTACGTTACTTACAATACAGGTTACTTATGCTGGCAATACAATACTGAATACAGTTTCCTACAGAAAATACAATTACTTGCAATACGGGCTATTTACTCTGCTAACAGTAAAATACTCTACTTACTTTACTTGCTGAACAATTGATTCTTATAATCTGGAATTACCTACCTGTCCTTATAAATATTTGATTCTTATTTGCATGTACCTCTAGCTGGACAGTGGTTTTGGAGGAATCTGCGCTATTGAACCACTGCGCACAGGCCATGGAGATGACATTGATATTCTTATTGGGGTTATGAACAATAACATTGTAGAGGGCTCCCTAAACACTCCTTTTCATCCAGTTGTTCAGGTATGTGTACCCTCATGAAGTGATTTAGAAGAAGTGCTAATGGGATCCATCATTCAAGCTTTAGAAACAGTGATGACAAGGAGGAGGATTACTTTCTGCAACTAGAAATGTTCTCACTCTAATTCCCAAAAGTAGGGCTTAACANCCACTGCGCACAGGCCATGGAGATGACATTGATATTCTTATTGGGGTGACGAACAATAACATTGTAGAGGGCTCCCTAAACACTCCTTTTCATCCAGTTGTTCAGGTATGTGTACCCTCAGGAAGTGATTTAGAAGAAGTACTAATGGGATCAAGCATTCAAGCTTTAGAAACAGTGACGACAAGGAGGAGGATTACTTTCTGCAACTAGAAATGTTCTCACTCTAATTCCCAAAAGTAGGGCTTAACAAATATTAAAATGGAAGTCACCTTGAAGTAAAATACAGTTTAACAGAATAAAATGGTTGGTTGAAGGTTAAGAATCAACTAGGTTGTAGGCCGACTACTAAGAATGTAAAAAAACTGCGTTTCCATAACCCTTTCTTCACTGCTGCTAGTACATGTATGCCATCCCACCATGTCATAGCACCCCCCCCCCCCGCCCAGATACATTTAGTTTAAGGTGGTAACAGCAACATCAATTTCAACCCTTACCTTGTAATTATTAATGACCATTATAGTTAAATTTACTTTTAAATAAAACTGCTTTTTACGTGGGTCTTATCATGCCATGGTTTGGTGCCCAAGGCCCAGTAACCACTTCACAAAGTCATGAGAATATAACTTATTTACAATTGAATTGCTACTTTCTTAATACACAGAGTCATAAGGACGAGGTTCATGCCCTGGCAGTGCACCCTAGTGAGACACAGTTTATTAGTGCATCACTGGACCACTCGGTTTCTTTGTGGGATGCTGAGACCCATCAAGTTATTTGGACAGTCAAGGTGGAGGTACGTGCCATCAGAACTGCTCTAGATGCAATAACTAACTCACTGACTGATCAACTGACTGACCAACAGACTGACCGATCCACCCACCAATTGACCAACCAACTGACCAAATGACATTGCACATTCATGTGATGCATGAAATCTGCTTATTAGCTGGACAGAAAAAAATCCACCAGCCTCAAGTTATCAAACAACACTCTCTTTGCATGCCGATGTACTTTGGATCCTCACTAATATCATTCTATTCTTGTAATTAATGTTTGCTCAATATTAACTGACCAAAAGACTGACTGACTGACCAACCGACTGACCGACCGACTGACTGACCGACTGACCAACTGACTGACAGACCAACCGACAGACCGAATGACTGAGTGACTGACTGAATGAATGACCAACAGACTGACGGAATGACATTACACATTCATGTGATGCATGAAATCCGCGTATTAGATGGACAGAAAAAATCCACCAGTGTCAAGTTATCAAACAAGACTCTCTTTGCATGCTGACTTACTTTGGACCCTCACTAAATTATCATTCTGTTCTTTTAATTAATGTTTGTTCGATACTGATCCAAATGCTTGCTCCTAACTTGGATCTTTGTTTTTTAGTTTCCTGTCAAGTCAGCAGATTTCTATTCAACTGGTGATATTTTGGCATTAGGCACCACTGCAGGAAGGTATGTGGCAGTTTTCTACCAATTGAAAATAATGTTGAAATTATGGTCAAACTTTTTTTTTGACTTGTGCGACTGTGTTTTACAGATGGATGGTCTTGTCATGTGACTCTGGAATGCATATTGCCTCATTTCAAGATGGCACAGTCCCCCTATCTGATCTGGAATATGCAAAAGGTGAATTGTATAACATGCATCCTTGAGATACAGAAACATGCATTCTTGATGCAATGAAATGTGCATGTTTGGGTCAGTTCTCCACAGAATGGTGTTTTGGGAATCTAATAGAGCAGGTCAGATGATGACTCAAAAGTTGGCACCCTGGATCACGTGGTCTGGGTTTGAACCATTACTGGGTCATTTTGTTGTGTTCTTAGGCAAGACACTTTACTCTTAGAGGGCTCGTCTCTGCCTGGCGTATACATTATTTTATAAATACTTAACCCTGTAATGGACTCGTGTGACTTAGACAGACTCCTAGTTGGTTCAGAAACCATCTACAGTAGATGGGCCCCTAGGCTCAAAAACAGATTTTCCTTTTATGCAGGTGACATCTAGCACAGATGAAAATATACAGTGTAATAAACTTAAGGTATATTTTATTTACTGATTTGTTTGATTTCATTCTAGATGGCGAACACATTGCAGTTGCTTCCCATGATGGCAGCATTTATGTTCATGCTGTGTATGATGAGGGGACAACGTACAGAAGAGTTGGCTGTTGTTCGGTGAGTTTTCTTCTGTGTCATGGCAGGTAGCAAGCAGGGAACTCACACTTTATCTCACAGTGGAGCAATTCATTGGTGTATGAGTATGATTCAGTTCTGATCTCATCTTACTTAGCCAAACTAACCCAATTGGTAAAAGATCTACACTTGAGCCAAAGTAACCTAAAGAGTTGAAGTTTATCCCAGTTTCTGTAGCAGGGAGTTTCTCCACTCCTGCAGGATATGGTACTATTTTATCACAGCTGAGGTTTCTGGTGGGGAGAGGCCCTGCAAGACTGAAAAGTGTTACTCAACAGCACAAAACCAAACCAGGCTCCTTCATCCAGAGTCCATTGGAAGTGCTAATCGTTTTGTCATTAATTTCAACTTGTAAACAGCATTATTATAATAATAAATTCTTTCAAAATCAACACAACGCTTGTCTTGGATGCTGATACACAGTTACTGCAATACAAATTGTGAGCATTACTGGTCATTTCAATCTATAGATTATTGAATGGTTATTTCTTGACAGGGTCACAGTGAACCAATCATGTTTCTGGACTGGTCACTTGATGGTTGCTTCCTTCAAAGTTTGTCCACCGATTATGAGCATATTGTTTGTAAGTATATCACCATCACTGTAACTTTTATAAAATTTTAGCATTGCTGTAGGGGACTAATCCATGGTGAAGGGATTAAAAAGAGATTTTTGTAAAGATGTCATTTTCACACACAAGAACTGTTGCTTCATGAAAAAATGTACAGGAAAATGCTTATGTCATGACCCTAAGAAGGGAGCATGCCTCTTTATTGTTATTAGTTATTAATTATTGTTTATTGCTATAGTATTAATTATTATTCAGACATTAATTATTTATTGTTACCAATAAGTACTTGGCTGTAATGTTAGTTTCCTTGTCTTCTTTCTAATACAATGATTCTGTTTCCAGGGGAAATTGGTGAATTTCAAAGAGAAGAATCACAGGATATTATTCGCGATGTTGACTGGTCCACAAGAAATGTCATGCTGGGCTATGATGTAGCAGGTAGCACCTAAAATCTTAATTTTGCTTGGTTCAGGGAAGCTACGTTTTCAAGGTTATGATACATTGATCAAATGGCCATATTATTATACTGGGTGTAAGGGGGACGGGGTAGAGAGCATAAACTGTCCGTGTTCTTAGTGAGACTCTTTTACACTGAGAGTGCCTCTTGCCATGCACCCACAAGTACAAATGGACACCAGGAAATTGCCAGGGCAGCCTAACTTAACAAAATGCAGAGTAACCTGTGATGGATCAGCACCTTATCCAGAGAGACTAGGAACTCTTCTACTGTATGTACTTACTTCATGCTACAGAGGCTGGTCTCTTAGTCTCCTCCGCAGCTGTTTTTGGGATGTCCCGCACACAACAGTCTCTGGGATTGGTTACCTTTCACCTTGCTATCAATTACCAAATTAGCAATATTTCAGTTTGAAAATCTGTGGCTAATTTTCAGGGAGCTCTTGGCTAAAAAGTTCATTACACACTCTGCTCATTTCCAGTGGTGTAGGCATCTTTTTGTCACATGATTAACCCAGTCTGATACATAATTTAGCGTCATTACATTTGCTTCAATAAATTGCTGTATAAAATGTGCTGGTGGAACTTGACATTCTGTAATAACTTGTTGTTTTTTGAAGGTGTTTGGCCTTCTCAACCAGATGATGGCAACCTTGTGAACAGCTCCGATCTGTCCTGGTCACGTAAGGTTTTTGCTGTCGGAGATGAGTTAGGATACATTCGTTTGTTTAAATTCCCATGCAGTCAACCTGGGGTAAGTAATTTGGTTGTATCATTCATCTCCATGGCACCTTACTAATTTTGCAAAATAAAATTTAAATTGAAAGAACTTAATGGGTTTTCTTGAAGAGGTGATAGAAACCATTATGAATTCTTATGAATTAAATTTCAAAACAGTACTGTAATAATTTAATTTTTAGTAATACTTTTAGTATCAACTGTAAAATTACATAAACATGTTCTTTGTAGGCTCACTATCACCAGTGGCGAGGTCATAGCTGTCCAGTCACACGCATGCTGTTTTTAGCATCAGACACCCACCTCCTCACAACTGGCAGTCGTGATTTCTGCATTCTTCAGTGGACAGTGGAAGGAAAGTTTCCAGTACTTAATGAGGAAGAGGAGTCCGACATGGACAATGAGATGGCTCACACTGGTAGGCGTCAAATAAAGGACAACCACAAACTTTCAGACAATAACAGCTACCATTCAGACTATAGCCCTGATGAACAAGAGGACGATGACTATGAATATTCTAAAAATGTTGCTAGAGGAAAACAGGCAAGAGGTCAGCAACAGCCTTCTGAAAACAGCCGTTATTCAGATGCTGCAGATTCCTTGCCGCATCAAGCACCTCAAGGACGTGGGCGTCCATCAAGGAAGAGTCGTCATTTGGATCATCAAGGAGAGGATACCAGAGCTGTGGGAAGAAGCCCACGGCGTAATATCCCAGCTCAGGACACCAGGTCACAGCAAGGTTCATATGCAGAAAGGTTTAATAAACACAAAGCTGGTAGCAATGCTAGGTGGAACCCACAATCATCCAGTGATCCACAGCAAGAGCCTGAAGATATGGGGCACTATTCTGATGAAGAAGGCCCAAGGCAGCAGCAAGGACATGCAGGTAGAGGTGGGGGAAGGAGCCGCCACCCTGCACGAGGACAGGATAAGGAATGGACCAGGAGACCTAGGAGATAGCAAATTAGCAAATTCCAATACAGTCATGTAAATTACTGTCAGTGTCTAATTTAAGATGACTAACAGGAAACAGTATTTATATTAAACCCAGGAGTATCTTCTTCAGTTTCGTTCCTCTAGTACTAATGTAACCTGAGACAATCAAACTGCTGATCTGTTGTAGAGGTATTTAGTAAGGCAACATAATTATCATTGAATTGAAACTAAAATACTTTTTGCAAAACAATTGCTCAAGCCCATGGATAAAGTAACAATTTCTGAAGGTTTATGTGACTTACAATTAAAGGAATGCCTTCGCAAACATTTTTCTCCGAGGTGGTGTCTTTAGTTCGCAGATGGTCTTTATGAATTTCACACACAAACATAATTTAGCCTTGCAAATGTAGGCAAATCTGAACTGTATTCCATATTGTTAATATTTTCATGGAAATAGTTATAAGAGTAATGAAGAATTTATATCATTATGCATAAAGTATTTGTAGCCAGAGCATATGTCTGGGCCATACATAGGTTTTATATCTTATTTAATGTTTTTCATTTCATATTTAAATGAAAGTTTTTTATGTATTTTATATTACTAATACAACCATGTGTATAAGCTACACAATCTGTTACATGCAAATATGAGGGTTTTTTTTTACTTAATTAGCATTCAGTTCATAAGTAGCTCAGTGCTTCGTTTAGTTTCGTCAGGTTTCATTTGGTTCTGTAAAATATTTTCTTACGGGAAAGGATAACGTTCAGTTTTTAACAGGGCACCATTATTGCTTAGGATCTGTAGAATGTGTAA